TCGGGTAAGTTCATAACTCGGGGATCTGAGAAGTTAGAACGCTGAAATCTTGGGATAATTTCCAAGTGGGTATTAGTGAGCTTAAACCCAGCCCCCGGGTAAGCGTGGTGCCCGCGTACGGGATCGCCAAATTTTTTTTTCGGGCAAGCTGATAACTCGAGTACCTCAGAAGCTAAAGGACTTGTGATTTTAAGAATATATCCCGTCCAACTAAGTTTCATTCAACTCAAACCCAACTCTCGGGGTATGCTTGGCAAACATGCACAGGCCCATGAAAATTTTGTTCCAGTAAGTTGCTGACTTAGGAGCAAGGGAAGCTGGAAAGCTGAAATTTCAGGGGGTGCTTTCTGACAGTTCTGGCGGCCAGTCTTAATTTGTTTAGCTAGAAGCATTTGCTGAAAAAGCCGGTGCCGGCAGCAACAAAAACTGCGGGGAATTATGCAAAAAACGCATCTTCGCACGGGCAGCCCGTGCGTTGGCCAATTTTTTGGCATTTGGAAGAAAAAGTAACGTACAGAAAGAAAAGGGAATAAATAGCGAAGCGCACCAGGGTAGCCGGTAAGATCATGCGTTCTGCGCAGTTCCGTCTAGCGGACGTTTGCTTACTAAAAATATAACTGTTTTACACTTTCGTGTACGGAAAAACAATAGACATGCTGTCTGGCTCCTAAAGTGAGGAATTTCCCAATGAAAATTTCACGTATTGGTACGTGAAAGCTGAATTTGAAAACACAGATGCGGAACATCCCTCCAAATTTCAACTTTGTCGGCACCTGATTTAACGATTTCCACATCACAATTCTCACATGGTCTTACTTAAGACCTGTGCATAATTGCGAGCTATACTTGAGTTTGCAAGATACCTGCAACGGCAGAAAATATCGTCCTGAAATTTCAGCTTTCTAGCTTTCATGGTTCCCGAGATAATTTTCCGCCAAAACTTTCACGGGGCCGTATGCGATGCCTAAGCGCAAGGGAAAACTGAATTTAAGTTTTGTGGGTCGTACGTGGGCAGGGAACATACCCATAAAATTTCAGCTTTCTAATTTTTAAATTTTAAAATCTTGTTCCTCATAATGAAAAGTCAGAAAACAAAATGTACACAGTAGCGTTTTTTGGACTATCACAGAGCTGAAAGTCTAACACATGGAAAAATGCAAAAAAAAAAAAAAAACAAAGAAATAAACAAACCGCGGATGACACCCATGATCAGTGGATGAGGTATGGCGCTTTTGACATGCAGGCTTTGTTCGTAGAGCGCTTTTAATGCTTTATTGTTCTTCTGCTCCGTGTACATCTGAATTTCAAGCGCGTACACTTCCAGCAGCTGCGTGCCTTTCTTCTGGTCCTCCTCGCCATGCTCGTTCTGCAACAATCACCCAAACCAGTGACGAGCAAGACAGGATCTGTTCAGAGAGGGCTACAAAAGAGTTAAGTGGATGCGGCGAGCCTGGAAACGCCGCCAGCTGGATGTGTCGGTGGCAAGAAAACGTGGAAAATAATGTGCTAATTTTTGGAAAATAATGTGCTAATTTATATATCTATTTCAATTTTAAAGCTTTTTTCTCTTTCCTTCTAATCCGCCTAACCTCCCTCCTCCCCCCCCCCCCCCCCCCCCCCCCCCCCCCCCCCCCCCCCCCCCCCCCCC